AGCAGCTGGCCTCGACATGCTCCATACCTCTGGCTAAGTGACCCCAAGCCCTGTACTGTGGCAGGTGGTCTCAGTTCATAGCATAGCCATTCCCAGGCACTTCCAAGCCCAGCATAGGCATCTAGCAAGTGCAGATCGCTTTGTAACTCCTACCAGGTGGCCCTGGACTGGACACAGGCAGTGGCTAAACTTGGCCTTACCCAGAGTCCCTACCCCAATGCCCCAGAATCAATATACTTGGTGGCAAACTTCAGACCACATAAGAAGACCACCCAATTAATACCACAAACATCACACCCAAAGGGCAGACTTGACACCTGAGCCTGCTAAAGTGAATTCCACTCCATGGGGTAAGCCCCACACAAAAGCTTGTCTGCTATAGTCATGGCCAGTTCTCACAGCCAATCAACCTAAGGGTCAATCCCACCCACTGATATGCCAACAACATTCAAGTCTCAGACACACAAGATACACTCCTGGAACACTTCGCTCAGGGGACTAGAGAGACCGCAAAACTAGTCCCACAGGACACCTACTGCATGAGGCTACTCTGCTAATACTGGGACTCATAACAGATCTACTTAATACATAGAAACAAATACAGGGAGACAACCAAAATAAGACAAAAAAAATGTGCCCTAAATGAAAGAGCAGTTTTGGCCAAAACTCCACAAAAGAAACTAAACAAACCGGAGACAATCTATCAGAGGGGGAGTTAAAAATACAGCTGATGAGGCGTGTCCATGAGCTCAGAGGAAGGATAGGGGATCTTAGTGGGAACTTCAGCAAAGAGATGGAAAGCATGAAAAGGGAGGTGGAAAGCATAAAAAAGGACTAGTCAGAAATGAAGAATGCAATAACTAAAATTAAAAATATATCAGATGGGACCAATAGCAGATTAGACTAAATAGATAATCAAATCAGCAATTTGGTAGACAAGGTAGCAGAAAATACATTTAAATAAGGATAGCTTAAGGGACTTCTGGGACAACTCTAAGTGTAACAACATTCATATCATAGGGATCCCAGAAGGAGGAGAGAGAGAGAGAGAGAGAGTAAGGATTGAAAACCTATGTGAAGAAATAATGACAAAAAATTTCACTAGCCAGGTAAAGGAAATACACACACAAATCAAGAAATCACAGAGTCCCAAACAAAATGAACACAGAGAGGCCCACACCAAGACAAATCATAATTAAAATGCCAAGGATTAAAGACAAAGAGAAAATCATAAAAGTAGCAAGAGAAAAACAGTGACCTACAAGAAAGTTCCCATTAGGGTATCACCTGATTTCTCAACAGAAACTTTGCACAACAGAAGGGATTGGCACAAAATATTCAATCATAAAAAGCAAGGACCTACAACCAAGATAACTCCATCCAGCAAAACTATCATTTAGAATCAAAGAACATATAAATAGCTACCCAGACAAGAAAAAGCTGAATGAGTTCATCACTACGAAACCAGTATTGTTAGAGGAACATTTTTAAGGAGAAAAAAATTTTAAATTTAAATGAGAAAATATCGCAAAAAAAATAATTCTCACTGACAAAAGCAGTGGATCAACAAACACTAAAACTAGTATAAAGCTTAAAAGGAAAATGTAGGGTCCAGCTAGTATTGCTCAGTGGTTAAGCATCAACCCATGAACCAGGAAATCATGGTTCAATTCCCAGTCAGGTCACATGCCAGAGTTACAGGCTCAATCTCCAGTAGAGGGCAGGCAGGAGAAGCCAATCAATGATGTTTCTCATCATTGATGTTTCCATCCCTCCCTTCCTCTCTCTCTCTCTCTTAAATCAATAAAAATATTGTTTTTAAACAACAAATGTTAGAAGATCACATATAATTTTAACAGTAAATTAAAGAATTCACACAAATACACACACACAAAAAGAAATAAAAAATAATGACAAAACATAAACATAGAAGGGGTGAGTAAAAGTGGTAGTAATTTTAGAGTGATGATCAAGTTAAAATAGACTATTATAGATGTAGCTTGGTATACATGAAGTACATGGAAACCAAAAACCAAAAGTCTACAAGAGATATTCAAGAAATAATGAGAAAGGAATCCAAATACAACACTGCAAAAAGTCATCAACATGCGAGAGCAGAGAATCTATAACAATAAAAGCATAATATGTTAATTAGAGCAGACGTCCTTCCGGACGTCCTTCTGTCCTTCCAGATGCAGCCGGAAGGAAGCCCGAGTTCCAGCTGCCAGAGAGAAGCCAGTGCTGGCACCTGGGTCTACTCTGGCACTCATTTCTTGCATCAGACCTCTAGTAAGCAATGGGGAAGAACTATAAAAACAGAGAACAATTAATAAAATGGCAGGAACTACATACCTATATATTACTTTAAATGTAAATTGATTACACATATCTCTATATAACTATATATTACCTTAAATATAAATGGATTAAATGCTCCAATTGAAAAAGGATTGGCTAAGAAGATGTAGTATATATAGACGATGGAATTTTACTCAGTAATAAAAAAGAATGAAATTTCACTATTTGTGACAACATAAATGGACCTAGTGGGTATTGTGCTAAATGAGATAAGTCAGATAGAGCAAGACAGCTACCATATGATTTCACTTAATGTGGAATCTATAAAACAAAATAAACAAACAAAACAGAAACAAATGCATAGATAGAATGAATAAACAGATGGTTGCCAGATGGGAAGGAGTTTGGGGAGCTGGGTGAAAAAGGTGAAGGGATTAAAAAGTAAAAATTGACAGTTACAGAATAGTCATGGGGATGTAAATCACAGTGTAGGGAATATAATCAGTAGTATCTTAATAACTATATATGGTGTCAGGTAAGTGCAAGACCTATTGGGGGAGTCACCTTGTAAATTATATAAATGTCTAATCACTATGCTACACACCTGAAATTAATCGTAATAATAAAAGCATAATATGCTAATTAGACCAGACAGCTGAACCACCTTCTGGATGTCCTTCCAGAGATCCTTCCAGATGATCTTCTGGACAAAGCCAAGGCTGGGAGGGCCGAGGCAGCTGCTGCGGCAGCAAGGGCCAAGCCCCTTGCACAAATTTCATGCATCAGGCCTCTAGTATAATAATAAATGTTAACTTTAATTGAAAAATTATAAATTGTTTTAATAATTTTAAATAAATAACCTTATTTAATATTAATAATATAATATATTATTTAATATCTATAATAATAAAAGCATAATATGCTAATTAGACTGGGCAGCCAAATGACCTTCCAGACATCCTTCCGGATGACCTTCCGGATGAAGCTGAGGCTGTGAGGGCCGAGCCCCTTGCATGAATTTCATGCATTGGGCCTCTAGTTAATAATTTAATAATATAAATAATGTATTTAATATTATTAAATGACAGTCTCCTTAGAGAAATGGCTGATTCTAGGACCAGCATAGGACATAAATGAGGTAAATCTGGAGGGTCTTGTAGCACCAGAAAGTAAGGAAGTGCCCAAGAAAAGGGGAAAGGGGAATACATAGAAATCACCTGAAGGAGCTCACAGTGGCCAAAGTTGGAATATTTTGAGCAACATACTAAATGCAATAGTGATGTGCCCCGGCTGGTGTGGCTCAGTTGGTTGGAGCATCCACTGAAGGGTCACGGTTCGATTTCCAGTCAGGGCACATATCCAGGTTGTGGGTTCGATTCCTGGTCGGAGAATGTACAGGATGCATCCGATGGAAAGTTTCATCCAACTCTCACAGTCATGATGATTAAAAATGTCTACAGTTTTGTCAAATACCATTAGTGGGTAGGACAAATAGTCAGACCACCTCAGCCCCCACCCCTGCAGTGAGGAGCACTGATTACACTGTGCATTTTAGGACAGGATGGAGCTGCCTTCAGTCCTCGCTCCTTCCTCCCCGCCCCCTCCTTTTATCAATGATTTTTTTTCTTTCTTTTTTCTTAATTTCTTTTTTTCCCCTTTTTAAAGTGCTCCCCTACAGTTTATAACACAGTAACTTGTATATAGTGGTTGCTTAGCAAATGCGTGATGCATTTCTGCCAACTGAATCCTAAATGCCAAGAATCATAAATGTTATGGCTGATTCTTGTCAAAAGAAAAACAGTTTTTCTAAATGCAAAGCTTGATGTTGGGAAGATAATTTCTGGTTCTTGGTCACTTGGAGTGTCATTTATGTCCCCTGGGAACGGGATGCCCTGCAGGCAGGACAGGCCCACCTGAATGCTCACCAAACCTCACAGTCAGGCAGTGTGCCTGGGAAGAACCCGGAGGGGAGGGAAAGACATGAGTAGGTGCCAAGGAACGCTGAGGAATGCATGGCTGGCCTGCAGCAACCAGCGAAGCCTTCTGCTTCGGTCTCTGGTTTGAGGTGCCATTTACAGCATAGACCTATTTCCCCAGCGGTTATTCCCATAATTTCTGGAATGGATCTGGATTGGGGAAATGACTCCCAGTTAGATGTTCTATGGAGCCCCCTTGAGAGAGGGCAGGTTGTGGGAGGGAGAGATAAATCCTGGGCAGTCCTCCCACCTCTGCAGGCGCTGCATCGCTGGAGGAGCAGGTGCGTGCCATTAACGGGAGCGCAGAGAATTGCAAATCAAAGGTAACTCAGGAGTGAGCTCCCATCGTCTCAGGCACTCAAGTCAGGCCACCCCTTTCTCTGTGGCAGCCCCAGGCGCTCACTGAGCTCGGCCTTTCAGCCCGCCAGCCCCGAGTCGCCCTCCCTGGGCCTCTGTGTGGTACCTTTGTTGCATTTGAAGTGTATTACAATGCCGTTGTCCTCCTCAAGATCACACAGACCTTGTACGTAATTGTGTCTACATGTATATGTACATGTTACATGGAGAGGGTGGGAAGAATCACGTAGGAATTAGATCTCAGGGTGGCTGTTTCTATCATTTCTCTCCCTTACACCATTTCCCCAGCCTTCCCCTCGGATCCCCACAGGCATAAATGGCCGCTTGAATCCTCTCTCATCAGATGCCCTATTCTTTCTCTCTCTCCAGAAGGAGGGACGTGTGAAGTGATAGCCGCACACAGATGCTGTAACAAGAACCGCATTGAGGAGCGGTCGCAGACGGTGAAGTGCTCCTGTCTACCTGGGAAAGTGGCCGGAACGACCAGGAACCGGCCTTCCTGTGTGGACGGTGAGTCACTGGTGTTGCCTCTCTCTCTGGGTGCTCACCTGGGGTTGGGCTCACCGGGCATAACGTGTATTTCTGTTTCACCTAAATGAGGCCCAGGATAGTGAACACGGCGCATCCAGAGTAAATGCCAGCCCTCAGGGTAGAGTTTGAATTCTTGTTTCTCAGGCTATCACATTTTTAAGTAGCTCTATTTTAACAATTTTAGAGAAGAAATGTGAGAATCCAGCTCATTTGGGAAGTGATTGTGGATTGAGGTTGCTTACAATGATGAGGGTGATAATGGTAGTAAAGAAAACAATACCTAACATTCATTTAACACATATTTAATGAGCATTTACTATATGCTCGGTGCTTCACATACATTCATGATGGAGTGTGCCACGCACTGTCCTAAACACTTCTCATGCACTAGATCATTTGCTCTGCAACAAATTACCCTCCACATTTAGCAGCTTTAAACAGCAGACATTATCTCAGTTTCTGTTGGTCAAGAATTCACCTTTGCTGGCTGGTTCTGGCTCAGGGTTTCTCCTGGAGTTGCGGTCACAGCCTGCCTGGTAGTGGAAGACAGCTCTAACATGGCTCACTCACCTTGCTGTGGATAGGTGGCCCCAGCTCCTCCTCAGGGGACCTCTCTGTAGAAGCTTGACATCCTGACAACATGGCATCTGGCCTCCCCCATAGTGTGTGAGCCAAGAGAACAATACAGAAGCCAAAATGACCTTTTGACAATCTAAGCTCAGAAGTGACACGTCATTGTTTCCATGATAACCTATTGGTTATACACATCAACCCTTGCATTCAGTGTGGAAATGGGCCAGGGCATGAAGACCGTGAGACAGGGACCCCGGGCACAGGCACACTTGCCCTGCATTTAATTCATGAAGAAAGTGAGGCTTAGAAGGGTTAAGTAATTTTCAGTGTCTCATGGATGATAAGTCGTAGCTCAACTAACTCTTTTTCTTTTTAATATATTTTTATTGATTTCAAAGGGGAATGGAGAGGGGGAGAGAGATAGAAATATCAATGATGATAGAGAATCATCCATCGGCTGCCTCTGCACACTCCCCTCCCCCTTTGGGGATGAAGCCCACAACCTGGGCATGTGCACTGACTGGAAATCGAACCTGTGACCTCCTGGTTCATAGGTCAATGCTCAACCACTGAGCAACACCAGCTGGGCTTAACTAACTCTTGATCCCTGAGTAACTGACCCAGTAATACTAGATCTTGAGCACCATCTTTAAAGCAATTTTATATGATCTATCAAACAGTGAGTCCAAGGTTCAAAGGGACCACACATTTCTCTTGCCAGCTTCAGCTTTTATCATTTTAGAGCCACGTATGAGTTGACCTCCAAACTCTTCAGTAAGGAAATCAGGATTAAAGAAGTGAGTCACATGCTCAGGGTCACACGGCAGGAATTGGAGCTTGACTTTTCTGGCTCAGGGCTCATTCTTCTGGCTCCAGATATAGATGGTAAAAACCTTCCAGATTGGCTCCTGTTACGGATTTTCATTATGAATCACTGTGTAGTTGGTAAGAGAAACACTCTCAAACTGGGCCAAGTAAAGATGAAGTTATTTTTTAAGAAAATAGAAAAATTCTGGGCGAGCCGGTCACAGGAAATTCAGCCAAACCTCAGCTGCCTGGAGAATTCAAAAATTCTCCATCTGCTTTGCTTTGTTTCCGACCTGTTTCCTTCATTCTCCTTTGTGTGGACTGGTTCCCTCTTCGAGGATTTGAGCCTTTGCCTCCCTATAACTCAAGGACGGCATGAGGCTTTCATTTCCATTGTGCCTGCTCTGAACTCCCTCAGCACCATGGTATGTCCCAAATATATTTGACTCAGTTTATGTCTTAAATGCATTCTCTGAAAACACTAAATATGATTGGCCCAGCTTCGGTCACATGCCAACCTTTGCCCAATCAGCCAAAGGAACAAACTTACGAACTTATGTGGCATGCACAGGTGCCCATTCTCTTCTGTGGGCAGGTCAAGCTTTTTTTGTTAAGGATGTGAAAAAGTGAGGAGAGGAAACACACCGTGAACTAGAGTTCTCCATCAGGGCGATCCTCGGGGTTTATTTGTCAATGTCTGGAGACATTTCAGTCCAGACATTCGTTATAACTAAGGGGTGCTCCTGGCATCTGGTGGGTAGATGCTGCTAAACATCCTACAATGCAGAGAGCCCCCACCACAGGCTGTCATTCAGCCCCAAATGTCAGTGGAGAAACCTGCATGTGGTTATTTCTAAATCCCAGTCAACACAACGAGGCACCTCCAGTGCGGAGACGGCAAGCGGCTAGACCAGAAAAGCTGCCTCACCCTCTCACCAGAGAAAACTCTTGGTCCTAGAAGCCAATAAACATAAAAACATAAAACTCCTGTTCTCGCCAAAGAAAGCCCTGAGTCTGTTAACGATAAATCCCATTTCGTTTCAGTTCATTTTTGTCTCTAATGATCGAGAGCTGTAACTGCCTTCAGGGTTTGGATGCCAGGCACCGAGAGGGATGCTGTGTCTGCTGGCAGAGGGGTGGCAGCGGGCCCTCATTCTGGGGGAAGCTATGCCATGTCATGGTAGCATTTGTCTCTCAGAGCAGGTCTGTTTGGCGTGGGAAACTCTGAACCCTTAGGGTAGTAGGTTCGGGCACGAGGGTTATTAGTCTATCTTCCAAGCGAAAGTCAAAGAATAAAGTGTTCCAGAGTCTCCCGCTGGCTGGTTTCCTGGGATCCACTGCCATGGATGGCAAGTCTGTGTGTTGCTATGATCAAAATGGACTTAATGGCTTAGATCTCTACATGCAGATTAAATCTGAAGTGTGGATGTAAATTAATATTTCTAGTACAGTAATTAAGCCATGACCTTGGGCGAGTGACATTTCTTTTCTAACCTGCTTCCTGGTGTGTAAAATGGGGATAATAATTGTTTCTACTTCACGCAGTTAAGGGAGTCATGTGTACACTGTGTTCTGCATGATGGCCGGTTCCCATCCAGTGCTCGTTAAATGATGGCCTCTGTTTCCTGTCTCACAAATGCATGCTGGTCATGCTTCGGAGGGGGCATTGCTTCCCGAAGTCCTGTTTGTGTTAATTCAACACAGGGGCATTTTAGTCACCAACTTTTCTTGGAACTGCTTCTGGCCATTTACCCTGGACATAGCGAATGCCGTATTCAGGGATACATGCATGTTCATTTTAGGAATCTTGAAAACTAAAAAAAAAAAATGCATCTGTACATTAAAATCACCCATAACATTGTTGCTCAAAGATTATCATTGCTTTATAAGGTAACATGTGCACCTCTTTCCAGCCTTACCCCTTATTAAAGAGAAACTCACATACTATGTATTTTATTAAACTAAAATATTGTAGCACTGTTTTATCAGCAGTTTGTTTCATTTGCTATATGGTGAGCATTTCCCAACTTAATACACACTCTTTGGACATCTCTGTCAGTAGCCACATAGATTCAGGGAGGATCACCACCATTTATCTAACTATGTCCCACTTTGGTGCATAGATGGGGCTCACTGCACTTCCCTTCCTCAGTCCAGGAAGCCTAGAACCAGCCCCTGCCCTTGACAGCACTTGTCGGTCCATGAAGCACATTTGTCCTAAATATAATCTGTCGCCCCTGGTGCCTTTCCCATCACAAGGGTTCTGCGGTCTGTTACTCGCTTTCCTCTGAAAGTGTGGGTCAGTGGCAATTTCTACAGTACTTTCAAAAGCAGAGGAACAGAAGATTTTAAAATAAGCATGTATTGGATTATAATAATAAGCATATATTCCAAACCTGAAGCCAGATCATTTTAAACGGGACATAAATTCTGCAGTACAATCTTAGCAACTTATTTAAAAAGTGTGATTTATGATATTTGGAGCAATTTTTAAGTAGCGAATTTTAGTTTTAAAATGATATTCTATTGGCTAGTGACTGAAAATGGCAAAAAGCATGCTCAACAACTTAAATTTGGGGGTACTCATTGTAAATATTATAAAAAGCAGGATACCTTGGACTTGGGTCTAGCACGATTCTGAAGGAATACGCCTTTACAGTTTAATCCACACCCTGAAATGTTTTAATTAAATCTATGACCCAAAATGGGGGTGGGGGCACCCTTACTCAAGATCTTTGGTTGAGGCCAACTCGGACTATAATGTACAACCTTCTATTAAGCTCCAATTACAGTTCCTAATCTCCTTAAACAATGCTGGGGTTAGGGGTGCCACCCTCACCTCCCCACCCCCAGGCCCAAGTAGCTGAAAATCTGAGTATAACTTTTGACTCTACAGTGTGCCCTTCAATACTGTGGATTCAACCAACCAAGAACCAAAAGCTGTATTTCAAATTCATGGTTGGAAACCACGGTTGGAAATGCAAAACTGCTTTTTGATCTGTGGTTGGTTGAATCCACAGATGCGAAGCTGACAGATATGAAAGGTTCACGTGTAAGTGGACACACACCGTTCAAACCCACATTGTTCCCAGGTCAGTTGTACTTGCCAGGGACTAAACCTAAAATAAAATAAAAGCTCACAAACGAGAGATGGTGTTTCAAAACATAATTATTTACTTTAGGGAAGACCTTTTCCAAGCAGATATGGAAAACAAACAGACATAAAGGAGGCTTTTAAAAATATGCTTTATTATTCTAATTGATCTGTAATGGCATAGAATATCCAGCTCAACATTTTAAAATTAATGGAATATAATTAATAAAAATAATGATAACAATAATAAAAATAATGGCTAACATTTTCTTGAAGGCTTACCACTTTTCCACGTCCTTCAAGTCTGTACATTTATTTAATTCTACCTCCAAGCCCATGTGTTATATCCTTCCATTATTCCATTTTACCCATCAAGAAGCGAGCCACAGAGATTGGGAGACTTGCTCAAAACCCCGCAGCCCGCAGTGGCAGAGCCACGAGGTCGCCTGGGCTCCCTGACTCCAGGGCCACTTACTGTCAATCACAACCGAACCAGGATCTAACA